AAATACTTTCTATATTTGCCCTTTAATGCTCTCTTATTGATTGTTTATCAAAAGACTCCAAGGTGGTCTTGATCTTACCAATTTATCCATGAATTGTAATGAATAACAAGAAACCCTTCTTCTATCTATATTTATCTATCTACATTTTTCTTCTAGAAATCTATTATTCCCTGGACTTTCCAGCATTAACTCTGCTTAATCACTTCTCACTATATCTAAAATATCTCTCATTAAAATATCTTTCATTAATAATGGTGCATCTGAACTAGGATGATTAAAGTATTTCAATAAAGGCAGTGATAATGGTGCCAAGGACACCAGGTGCTTTCTGGGCCCCCAGAAAGCCCAAGATACAGTGACAGTTAGAAAAATAATAGCAAGTAAAGCATGCCAAGTACACTGCATGTTTCTCAGCATGACCAATTCCAAGAGGCAACCTTCCTTGAAGTTCCAGCCTCAACCCACGGAGGATCTCACGCAGCCTTCATTGGAGATGGCGTGACAGTGACACATGGCTTTAATCCCAGAACTTGGAAGGCAGAGACAGTGGATCTCTGTGAGATCTAGGCCAATCTGGTCTACATAGCAAATTCCAGGTCAGCTGGGGCTATATAAGGAGAACTTGTCTCAATAAAAACAAAACAAAGCAAAAAAAGAAAAACAACAAAAAACAAAAACAAAAACAAAAAACAAAAAAGGGTATCTCTGTGAGACCCAGAGTTTGGTTAGAAGAAACCCAAGACAATAAAAAGCCATGCATAGAGAAATAAGAAGCCAGTTGATGAGTGTGGAGCTGAATCCCACAGGAAAATACCTTGAAGCTCTCCAAGCCCAGGCTTCCCACTGCTGGAAACCCAAAGTGGAGGGTCAACTCAGAGGCTGAAGAGGAAATAAATAAATAAATAATAAATAAATAAATAAATAAATAAATAAAAGTATCTCACCATCAAAGACAGGTGCTACCTTAGGATAAAAGGACAGAAAAAAGTATTCTAATCAAAAGGAACTAGGAAACAAGTGTCGCTGTTCTAATATTTGACAAAATATACTTCAAACCAAAGCTAGTCATATTTTTTTATTATTTTAAAAAATATTTTAGCTGGGTGTGGTGGCACACACCTTTAACCCCAGCACTCGGCAGGCAGAGACAGGTGGATCTCTGTGAGTTCGAGGCCAGCCTGCTCTACATAGTGAGTTCCAGGACAGCTGGGGCTACAGGGAGACCCTGTCTCAAAAAGACCAACAAAAAAATTTTAATGTATTTTATTCATTTTTTCATTTTATATGTTTGACTGTACTGCCTGCATGTTTGTAAGTGCACCCATGTCGTGCAATGGCCATAGAGGCCAGAACAGGGCACTGGAGAAGAGATTTTTAATAGGCCATATATATGCACCAAACTAGGTGCCCCCAATTTCATAAATACTACTAGATGTAAAGTCTAGTAGTTAACTACAACACAATAATAGTAGGTGATTTCAGCATCCCATTCTCACCAGAAGAGAGGTCATCTGGATAAATATAAACAGAAACATCTGAGTTTAATGACATTACAGATCAAATAGACCTATAGAACATTCCACCCAAACACTGAAGAATATACATTCTTCTCAGCAGTCCATGCAACTGTGTCTAAAATACGTCCTGTATCAGGACACAAAGGAAGTCTCACTAAACATAGGTAAACTGAAATAACTTTTTGTATTCCAGCTGACCACATTGGAATAAAGCTAGAAATCAACAAGAAGAGAAACCATGAAAAAAACAGACACGTGGAAATTAAACAGCACATTCTTGAATGAACATGAGTTACTAAAGAAATCAAGAAGGAAATAAAATTCATACAATCAAATGAAAATGAAACATGGGGCAGGAAGATGGCTCGGTGGGTAAGAGTACTTGTTCTGCAACCTGAGGACCTGAATTAGAGTTCCCAGCACACGTAAGCCAGGCATGGCTGTGCATATCTGTAACCCCAGATTTGGGGACAGAGACAGGCAGTTCCTGAGAGCTCTCTGGGCTGCTAGTCTAGCCCAAAATGGGGATCTTCCAGTTCAGTGAGAGACTTTGTCTTAAGGCAATAAAGTGGAGAGTGATAGAGACATGACACCCTAGTCCTTCCTCTGCTTGTGTGAGCATGAAGGTACGCACCTGCACACTCACGTGCATGCACCACACACAAAGATGCACACACACGCACAGAGACACACATGCAAGA